TCTGTTACTTGTTATCCAAAGGACCCTTAAATATGTAACCACTGATTTTGTCTTCTTAGCTAACTTGTTGATCCTAACCAGCCTCTTGCTCCCATTTTAAATTCTCATATTTCCAGGGTCTAGTCAGGACCCAGTATAAAGTGAAATCCATTAAGTAGTATCTTAAAAGAGGAAAAATACCTTAAAAACTCAGATTCCTAATTTCTTTCAAACCTACTCAAAATGATTTCTCACTCTAAACTTTGATTTCAAAAACTGAATATGTTGAACCACCATCCTTTTAGTGATATTTGGGTGTTGTTGTTTTATTGTGTTTTTTTTTTAATGTTATTTCAAATTGTTCAATTATTCTCAACTATGGGGCACACAGGAAAGGCGATTTAAATTACAATGATAAATGATAAAAGTTAACCCCTTTAATGTACTTAGCACAGCTTGCTATCACAATAGCACACATGCTATCACATGCCAAAGTAATTATTTTTTTTTAAAAAGTTCATCTTACTGTTGACAGCTCTTTTTGAAAAATGTAAAAATGTCTATAACTGTTTTCAGATTTGGGAGACAGGCAACTAGGTGGTGCAGTGGATAGAGCAGTGGTCCTAGAGTCCAGAAGATCTGAGTTCAAATGTGACTTCAGACACTTACTAGCTGTGTCACCCTGCGAAGGCCATGTAACCCTTGTTTGCCTCAGTTCCTCATCTGTAAAATGGGGACACACTGGAGAAGAAAATGGCAAACCACTCCAGTCATCTATGCCAAGAAAACCCCGTGGACTTTTGGACACAACTGAACAGCAAGAAGTAGCTAACATTTGTGTGGCACTTAACATGTGCCAGGCACTATCTAAGTGTTTTACAAATAGTATCTGATTTTATCATCACAACAATTTCTGGGTGTTATTATTATTTACATTTTACAGATAAAGAAACTGAGGCGATCAGGTTAAATGACTTGCTCAAGGTCATACAGCTAGTAAATAAGGCCATATTTTAATTCTAACACTATTCATTATGCCACCTGGCTATACATGGTTCAAATTATTTGATAAACTAATTTTGCAAAGGGCTGGGTAACAGGCATACTGCATAGCTAAAGGATGAATTAATAGATGCTGGTTTCATTACTGGCTCTAAAACACTCACCATGCAATGGAGCAGCAGCCTTAGTCTAAATACAGTGACCCTTGGAGATGTAGGTATGGGATAGAGGAAAGCAGGTGTTAGGAGTCTAAGAAAGCTGGGTTCAGATGTTCTCCCTGCCATTTCCCATATGTGTGATATTGAGCAGTCAGTTACTTCTCTGAGCCTCAGTTTTCCTAATCTGTAAAATAAGAGGGTTGGACCAAATGACTTCTCAAGTGATTTTAAATCTAAATCCTATTAATAGGAACCAAAAGAAGTCAAATAGTACTTGGCTCAAATATTCTGACTGAAAGAATGGAAAAAAAGGCCTGGGGGGGGGTGCCTTTCAACTTAAAACTAATTATAAAAAATTAAAATTGTTTTTATTATTTTTGTTGTTATAAAGGATAATCTGCTAGGTGAAAGAAAGGGAAAAATTCAGAAATGAAAGTCATTTAAAACAAAAAATAGAATTAAAAAATTTAAATAACATAAAACTTTTTAATGTGCATGTTAGTCTGTGTCTATAAGTACAAATGGAACAAAGTGTTTTGAGAATCATTTACTACAGCATGTGGTTTTGACTGCAGAAATAGTAAAGAGAAATCAGATAGCTTAATCTGATTTCAACCATAAGCTGAACTCAAGAGGACACAGACAATACTTTTTCCATGTTCAACCTACTAATTTTAGGGTCAGGTTTTTGGCTTTTAATGAAGACTTTTGCCCCAGATTTAGGATAGGAATTTCCCCCTCAGAACCTACATTTTCAATCAATCCATAAGCCCTTCCTAGGAATCTATAACATGCCAGGCACTCTGCCAGGCTCTGGGGATCCAAACCCAAAAAAATGAGACTATTGTTGCCCTTGAAGGGCTGAACTTCATGTAAGTGAGTTTGCGTGCTGTGTGATCCCTACAGATCTGACTTTTCTCAAATCCCAGGAGGATGACCTGAAGCTGAATGTGGACAATTGCATATACTGCTAGGGCAGCTAGGTGGCGCAATGAATAGAGTACCAAGCATGGTGTCAGAAAGATTCATCTTCTTGAGTTCAAATGTGCCCTCTGATACTTACTAGCTGTGTGTCCATAGACAAGTCATTTAACCCTGTTTGCCTCAGTTTTCTTATCTACAAAATGACCTGGAGAAGGAAAGGGTAAACCATTCTAGTATCTCTGCCAAGAAAACCCCAAATGGGGTCACAAAGAGTCAGACATCACTGAAATGAGTGAACAACAATATATCCCATATGTCAGTGAGATCCAAACTCAGAAAGAAACAGATCCCTGCTCCTACATATTAAGGGCAGGTAAGTGGCCCAGTGGATAGCACACTGGGCTTGGAATCAGGAAGACTCATCCTCTGACGTTAAAATCCCACCTCAGACACTAGCTATGTGAGTGACCCTGGGCAAGTCATTTAACCCTGTTTGCCTTAGTTCTTCATCTGTAACATGAGCTGGAGAAGGAAATGACAAAGCACTCCAGTGTCTTTGTCAAGAAAACCCCAAATGAAGAGTTGGACATGACTGAAAAACAACTGAACAAGTATACAGTTAACCCTTCTACTTCGAGAAGGTCAAGGGAGAGGAGCTCCCACGATATGGAAAATCTGCATAAAATTTTTTGGCCCTCCCTTCATACCAGAGAAGGAGTCTGAATTATTGTGGAATTCAAAGATAAAGTATATTGATATTACACAATACTATACATATATTTTATGCATTTCTGAGTTTTGAAACCTGGGTCTGCTGACCTTCATGTGTAGTCTGCAGCTTCTGCAAAACTCCCCCAAAATTCCCATTTTATTTATTATGATAACCCATGATATACTGAAACCATGATGGGGAAAAATCAAGGTGTGGAAGGGATTACTGTATACTGCTCACTCAGCAGACACACGGAACTTTGGGTCTCCGGATTTAGGCAGGCAATGGAAGGGAAAGACCATTAAATGAGGGCCCAAAGTAAGAGAACTATTCTTCTACTCTAGCCCAGGTGTTCTTAACTTTTTTTGTGCTATGGACCCCTTGGGCTCTCTGGTGAAGCTGTAGATCCTTCCTCAGAATAATGTTTTTAAACACATAATACATCTGGGATTGCAAAGGAAACCAATTATATTGACATAAAATTATCAATGTATTGAAAAAAAATTCTAAGACCCTCTGAAATAGATCCACAGACCTTAGGAGTCTTCTGAAACTAGGTTAAAAACCCCTGCTCTAGACTCTAATTCTATATTTCCCAGAAGAGATCCTAAATCCAACTTTTGCAGTTTTGCTGGGCAAACCCAATGAAGAATTCTCAATTCCTTGACCATAAACTTTGAATTCATAGGGTTAGCATTCTAGAGCTGGGAGGGACCTCAGAAGCTGTCTCGTTTTGCACATGTGAAACCCAGGGACACCATACTTGCATCTGCCATTGTATTTAGACTAAGCTGACTTGCCCATAGTCACATAGATCCTTGGACTCCAGAGCCACTTAGCCTGGGTCAATATTTTTTCTCTGCCTGCTTAATATTTGGCCATCATTTTTTGGCTGTTATTAATTCACTGGACTCCTACATTTCCAGATTGTGGTAATGAAAGTTTCTGACCTTGAATCATGTGAAAATCATGCCCCTCTCAAAAGACTTTGCGTCTAAGAGCTACAGAAGTAGGGGATCCATAGTCATTGCTCAAAGGAATAGTCTCATTTACTTGTTTTAATGAGTTAGTAAAATTTAGTCACTCTTTCTTCTTCCCTGTGGAAAATAAAATCACTGTCATGGAAATCTGCCTTATAAGATATTATCTATCTTATTAATTTAAACAGTGTTGTGGGGAAGGATCAGACTAACCCCTGACAGCCTCACTTAATCTCAGCTTTGATGTAGCCTGTGGAATTGCTTCACAGTTGGATAAAGGGGAGCTGTTTCTGTGAGGTACTGCTGGAGAAAGTGTGTAATCAGCAATTAAGCAGTTCCCATAGAACCCCCAGCGGCTGAACTTCCTTTCTGATTTCACAGAGAAGGAGGGGTGGGAAGAGAAGGGGGGTTGGAGAATAAGAGAGAGGGCGTAGAGATAGGAGAGAGGGGGAGAGAACAAAATAGAGGGGATAGAGAATAAGAGGGGATAGAAGAGGGGGAGAACAGGAGAAAAGAGTTAGATAATGAGAGAGTGGGGGAGAATAAGTGAGATGGGAAGAGGATAAAAAAGAGGGGAGGGAATAAGAGAGAGGAGAAAGAAAATAAGATAGGAAAGAATAAGAGAGGGGGAGAGAATAAAAGAGGGAGGAGGGAATAAGAAAAGGGGAGATAATAAGGGGGGAGAGAAGGAGAGAGAAGGGGGTAGAGAATAAGAGATGGGGAAGAATAAGAAGGAAGGGGACAGAATAAGAGAGAGAGGAGAAAGGATGAGACAGAAGAGCATAGAGACTGAGAGGAAAAAGAATGAGAGAGGGAGGAGAATAAGAGAGGGGAGGTAATAAGAGGGAAGAGAATAAGAGAGGGGAGCAGAGAGAGAGAGAATGAATATGAATGAGAATATATCCTTAAGAAGGCTTTTCTTTTGCTGAGAGATGTAGAGATAAGGGTCCTGACGTTTGAGTCTATGATGGCTACGTCCCTCTTCTTACACATAACCCACGCGGTTATTAAAGGCTTGGGAATATGCCAGGGTCATGGCTTCTGATCATTCAGAGACAAAAGCTTCCCTGAGCTGGAAACTGGAATTCCTTTTTTCCAGACACGTGACAACTCACCCTAAGGTGTTTTTAGACATGCATGGCTCTGTGTGTGGTTGGCTAATCCGGACTTGGCATTTTATAGAGGATGAGGTAAAGTTTTCCATTAAATGACAGTGTGTGTGTGTGTTTTCTCTTTTCTCTTCAGATGAAATCATGCACCAGGATATCACTCCCCTCTGTGCCGCTGATATTGAAGACCAACTGAAAAAGCAGTTTGCTTACCTGTCTGGTAAGTGTGGAAAGCCCACATTAGTAATCCGGTGGCCAAATGGGAGATGGGAGGGAGAGAGAGACAGCCTATTTAGACTGTGAGCTCCGCAAGAGCCTTTCTGTATATCCCTAGAGCTTAACACACTGCCTGCTACATAGTAGGTGCTTAATGAATGCTTATTGATTATTAACTATATCAGGTTAAGATATGTGTACCATTGGTTCTTCCAATTCTAACAACTCAATTTATGAATATTCAATCCCCGTGCCTATTTAATTCCCAATCAATCTATTCTGTATCTATGTAACTAGAATTTGTAGCAATGAAAAATGTACTCATCTTTCACTTCTGAAATTTAAGAAAGGAAGAGATCTTGAAACTTAATTCCATTTTGATTAAGTTCTATTATAGAGACTGGGTAAAAGATGCAAACTCTATTTTGCCAGGAGGGGGATGTGTTGGTTCTGTGTCAAGATGGTAGGAAAAATTTTGCCCAGTTGATTGGTGGCAGTGGGAACAAAACACAGAGTGTGCTTCATAGAATATGCTGTCAAAGTAGAGGGTGATTGGGAAAGGAATAAGCATTTATGTAGTGCCTGCTGTGCTAAGCCCTTTACAAATATCTCATTTGATCCTCAGAACAATCCTATGATGTGGCCTTTGTTATCCCCATTTTATAGTTAAGGAATCTGAGACTTGTTATTGACTTGTCCAGTGTCACACAGGTAGTAAGGGTCTGAGGCTGGATTTGAACTCACATGTTCCTAACTCCAGGCCCAGAGCTCTATCCACTGTCCAGTTGCTTTGAAAAGGAAGAGAAGAGAGACATGGGGTTAAAGTAGTTGTCCAATTCGTTCTTTCAGTTCTGTCTTAATTCAGCTTATGAATGTTAAGTCTCCCTAGCTTTCTTTCTGGCAAGGGGACCCAGATTTATCTGAGCAAGGTCAATGGAATCATACATTGAATAATGCTCAACACTATATAACACTTTGAAGTTTGTGTAGCACTTTGCAAATATTATCTCATTTTATCCTCATAACAACCCTGGGAGATGCATTCTATTCAGTTAGTCAACATGCATTGAGTGTCTGCTATGTGCCAGGGACTGTGCTAAGGAGTAGTAATACAGAGAGAGGCAGAAGACAATCCCTGCTCCCAAGAAGTTCAGAGTTTAATGGGTGAGACAATGTGAAAAGAACTATGCACAAATAACATACAGATAGATAAATTGGAGGTCAGCAATAGAAGGATGGTACTCGTGCTAAGGGGGATTGGGGTGCAATGTATAAAAAGTTCAAGAGATGTAATTTCTGGGTAATTAATCATTTTATTAATTATGGCTAGTGAAATTATAACTAGTGTGATGTATAAAAAGCTTGAGAGATATAATTTCTGGGTAATTAATCATTTTGTTAATCATGGTGAGTGAATAATAAAAGGATGGCCATTTGGCCTCCTCTCATAAACCAAAGACCCCTCATGGGGGCCTCTTGATGCTTATATGCCCTTGGAAAATGAATATTCCTAACAGGTGACAATCCACTCTGGTTAAAAATTAATGAGAAAATAAATATGATGATAAAATGTGGTCTTATTCTAATGAGGGACTGGAGGACAGGATTCTGAATATGTTGCTTTTAGTCCCAGACCACTCCCAGCCTTGGGCAACCTAGAAAAAAGATCTACCCTCCCACCCAAGCCTGAGTAAAATGCTGTGGACTTCCCCAGGTGGGTGGGGTCTAAACAAGATTGAGGAGAATGTTTAATCCTATCTCATTATCAGCCCTATTCTGCAGAGGCTGATTTGACCCAGTAGAAAATGAGGAAATAGAAAGGGAAAAAATCTTAAGTCTCTCCAATATTAACAATTATTTAATAATCATTCCTTTCAAGGGTAAGTCTTCTGGTAGAAGAGAGACTTTAGGTTTGACTTTAAGGAAGCCAAGAGGGAGAGAAGGAAGAGAATTCTCAGCATGGGGAACAGCCAGTGAAACTGTCTTGAGTTGAGAGAGCATTTTGTTTTAGGAGCTGCAAAGAGGTCATTGTCACTGGATTGTGCAGATGACAGAGTGTGTGTGGAGAGGGATAAGGTATAAAAAGACTGAAAAGCTAGGAAGGGACCAGGTTGTAAAAGGCTTTAAAAGTCAAACAGAAGATTTTATTTGAACTTCAGGGTGAAAGTGAATCTCTGGAGCTAACTGAATAGGGGGATAATATGGTTATGTTGCGGTCTAGGGGCACTGGGAGCCCTGAAATGCAAGCATATAGGGTAGGAGTCTGCCTCAAAAGAATTCGACCACTCAAGCCTTCTTTCAATCCAAGTAGTGAGTTTATTAAGATACCAGTTGGGGTGGACAAGATTCCTAGTGAGTGTGCATTATTTGTGATGCCAGTACAAGTGGGCCAGATTTTAAGAATCTTCTAATTTGATGAGGATAAAAATTGGTACTTTTATACAGAAAAAGACTGTGAGAAAATCTGGATGGGATTAATGAGTGTCAAATAAGCTAATTAAGTAATCAAGATGGGCTGAGGTGGGCCGGATGCTTTGGGCAAAGGCACCAATGATCCTGGCTACTGAAAAGTATGGGAAAATTCAGGGACTGGATTGCTTTCAAAAACATGGTCTTTTCCTTTTAGGAGTTCAGATTGAATCCCATTCACCATCAGTTAGAACTGAGCCTTAGAGAGATTAATTTGGCAACTGAGTAGAGGACGAGGAGAGACTTGAGGTAAGACTGTCAACCAGCAGGCTATTGCAATAGTCCAGATGTGATGGCCTAGACTAGAGTGATGCCAGTGTCAGAGAAGAGAAGGGTGTTGGTATATAAGAGATGCTACAAAGGTAAAAATCAGCAGGGCTTAATAATAGAATAGATATTGGAGGTGAGAGAAAGTGTTGAGTCTAGAAAGAAACTTAGGTTTTGAGCTTGATTAACTGGGGAATGGTCATACTTTCAACTCTAATAGGGAAATTAGGAAGGGTGTGAGGGAAAGATAATGAGTTCCACTTGAGACATATAGAGGTTAAGATGTTTACAGGACATTTAGTCAGATGGAGATGCAGAACTGGAGTTTAAGAGAGAGGTTAGGGCTGGATAATCCCTATTTTATATTTAAGGAAATTGAGGCAGAGATTAAGTAACTTGCATAGAATCACACAGCTAGCAAGTTTCTGAAAGGGGATTTGAACTTAAGTCTTCCTAACTCTAGATCCAGTGCTCTCTTGATTATACTGCCCAGAGGCAAGGCTTTCAATGGTCATCTGGTCTAGTCCCTGCACCATTTTTAAGATGAAGAAAACAAGGTCCAGAGAGGTTAAGTAACCTAAGTAAGGTAATACAGGTAGGGTTGTGATTTAAAACTAAATTAAAAACTAATACAAATCCATGTTCTTTCCATTGCACCACGCTGCCTGGTTTCTGCCCGGTAAAAGGATTCAGTCTAGGGGACAACTGCTGAAGCCAGAAGAAAAGTGAGAAGAAAAAAAAAAGATCATACCACCATGGATAGATACTCTTAGTTCCTGATTCAGATCCCATTGGGTGCATAGAAAGCACCTGAAGTGTTGCATTTCTTTCCTTGTGGATGGTTTCTTACTGTTGTCCTTTTTACCTTTTCCCTCCCAGGTAGGGCCGATAACTCTTGAACTGGGAGCTGATCCATTCTTCCACCTTCTCTTCCTCCCCCTCTTCCATCCCACTTACTAGATATTAGATTCGTGTAACTAGTAGAGACCTGCAGCCGCCATTGTTACATAGTTGCTCTTGTTTATATCAAGGAGTGGGTCATGTTATGATCTCTTGTTTCCCAGCCTCTAGGAAAATGTTCCTGCAATGAGGTTTTAAACGCCCTTCATTAGCAGAACACAACGAGAATATCTTCACTAACAGCTCTGGTAGATGATTGTTATGTATTGCTGTTTTAGCTAGACTGGTCCATCTGCCAAGAGTAAATTAGAAAAATAACCTTTCCTGTCATTGATAGAGGATTGAGGGCTGAGTTGTAATTGTTTCAGCAGCTCGGGCTTCTGCCTTCTCTCTTTTATCACCTTTACTGATTCTATTTTCCTTTGCCAACAGATTGAGGCCCTTCCTGCCCAGAACCCAATTTTTACCCCAAACTAGAATACTTTGGGGCTTACCATTTTTCCCTTCACTATAAAGCCTTCCTAAGACTTAACTGTTTTTGCCTGGTTAGTACTTCTTTAAAGTGACCTGCCATTATTCATAATACTTTTAGGTGATTTTTGTTGTTCGGTCGTTTTAGTCACGTCTGACTCTTCATGACCCTACTTTGGGTTTTCTTTGCAAATATACTGGAGGAGTCTGCCATTTCCTTCTCCAGCTCATTTTACAGATGAGGAAACTAAGGCAAATAGGATTAAGTGACTTGCCAGGAGTCACACAGCTAGTAAGTGTCTGAGGCCAGATTGGAACACAGGTCTTCCTGACTCCAGGCCAGTGCTCTATCCACTGCACCACCTAGCTGTGCATAAGTAAAAATTTAGAATTAAGTCTTAGAGGACCTATGTGCGGGCCCTTTGAGATCCAGAGGGACCTGAGATGAAGAAGCAATAGGCCAGCAATGTCAAACCACAAGCTGTGGTAAATATATTTGAAGGGCCCTATTGATTTATAGAAGAGAATCCAAAAGCCCCCCCCAAAAAAAATGTAAGGCAAAAAAGTGGTCCCTTTCAGGAATATGTTTGTCTAGAGATAAAAACACTTTAATTAGTATTCAGACACTTGAAATGGCACCAATCCACTCATTTCTATCTCTGTCAATGACAAGATAATAGAGAATGAGTGAGTTTATAAGGGGGGGGGGGGAAGCTTTAACCACATGTATCAGTGATGTTATCATAGTGGAAAGAGATCTCATTCAAAATCAGGAGGACCTGAGTTCAAATCTGAGCTGTGACACATCTTGGCAGGGTGACCTTGTCCAAGCCACTTAACTTCTCCAGAGCCCAAGCAGTCTCTAAGACTATTTGTAAAACAGTTGCCGATCTGCTT